TAGAGGGTAATGTAGAAACGATTCTTCTGATTCTTAGCTACAGTTGTTAGAAATCCAATCCTTTTGTAATCATCATTTTTTATCTCAAAGGCTAAGGATACATTTAAAGGTAGTTTGTTTGTAAATTTTAGAATAATCATAATTTTTGTGGCATATAATTGCATGTATAAAACTGTTGTCGTTAATATAATGCATTTAATCATAATGATACTGTGTTATTACTGACTTTCCCAAGACAGATATGGGTGAGTTTCGTTTTATCTCATGCCCGTTTTTAGATACAGTCTAATTTTTTCTTCAAAATGCTGGTCTTTGTCTCGGCAAATTGCTGCATAGAAATTTCTTTTTCTTAGTTTTTGTAAGGAAATGCAAAAAATGAAGTTAATAAAGTTGGCATTAATATCTACTCATGAAAAACGTATATGTTTGCCTGTACTCACTGTGATCTCACAGATTAGTTCAATCAATGCGTTTGACAGTCATTAGGGTTTTTGGCAATGCTATGTTAATACCTGCAGGATCTGATTCTACATGTGCAACTACCTTTTTTTACTGACAGACGAACAGTGCGGACATAAAGGRTGACACCGATTTTTTTCTGGCTGTGTAAAAACGCGCTGTTGGGTGACAGACCAGYCATTCACCGCTGGCCAACCTTGTTGCAAGTGCTCTGTAAATAGGACGATTATCTTTGTTCTATGTCCGTCAATATCAAAACTCGTCACAGCAGCCTGTCAGCATGCACGGCTGTCCTTCATTTAAGAAATATAAAACGACGCGCGTGTCTCTGTCCTCTGCATATAAACATGGTGGGAGTTCGAAAAACACGAGCGTAGCGAGTGTTTCCCTTGCTTCTCGAGTGTTTTTCAACTCCCACCGTGTTTATATCTGAGGACAGAGACACAAGCTGCCGTTTTATATTTCTTTTATAAAATTTTTCGAGCAAAAAGCAAATTTTGCCGGTAAGCCGTGTCTCTGTCCTCTGATATAAACACGGCCGTCAGCCAATCAAAGCGCGCGTTATATATCGAAAATTTTATWAATATTTTTTATCAATCGTATATAGTTACTGATGCGCTATTGATGAGGGCGCATCTTGGGTCCAAGAACATCCCGGTCGTGTATGGCAAAGTGGTCTGGACACGAGAATCTGGGCACGAAGCAAATACCGCTTGATCTACCTTAACACCTCTGGTATCTTTTGTTGTAACGAGGTTTGAATGCATGAMGGATAAGACTAAACGATGGCTAGCAACAGATGGCTAAATTACTGAAAATACAATAGTTATAAAATCACTACAAAACAAGACTTTATTATAGAAAAGACGTGTTTGTTCATATTTCAGGGKKTTTTTTTTCACCTTAAACTATGAAAAGATCGCTCTCAATTTAAGTGATTGAAACTGAAATCATATCATTATGATGCAAAAAAATCGTGAATCAATAAAACCGATTCAAGCAGAGTTAGTAGTAACTGATTCAAGAAGAGTTAGTAGTAACTGATTCAAGATATGATGTTGTTGTCATGTAATTGATGAAAATATTCTGTCATCAACGTGCTAGTACACACTGTGTTGTTCAAACATCACTGCATGTAGAAATCAACTCAAGAAAATTGATCCTTTAACAATTAATTTTAGTGCCAAATGTTTTTGTACAACTCTGTATTTCTTGATTTTATGCAAATGTATCTAATTATTTCGATGGAATCTGCTGTAAGAGGAGTTCTAGCAGGTCTTAATCCATTTCTATTGTGATACTGGCTGTGTTCGGTAACTTTGCATGTATCCAGCCCACCCGACATAAYAAGCAAGCAAAAGGTCACTATAGTTATTACCATCAAATCATCTCAACGAAACGCGAATGTGTCTAAACATTCTTTTATTCGAGGAGACAATGAGGTTCGATTTAAACGTCTAATTAAGAGTCCTTTAGAACTTTTGTTTCTGTTTTTCTTCAAAACAAATGAAATACAAAAAAGGTTTTTACCAAACTGTCAGGTGGTTTAGCAACCACCATGCTTTGTGAAAATCCTTTACCGGCACATGTATTAAATAAAGCAATCCAGTATTGCATTTAACTTCTTTTTGTTACAGTTAAGTTACTGTATGTACGTTTCGACGAAACATTGCCTCGAGATATTGACGATTCACCACTAGTTAAAAATCTAGAAATCATGATTACGAACAAAAACTCCTTTCTGCACTCAACTCAAAAAAGATTTGAATTTGATTTAAAATAAACTATCTAAGGCGCTACATAGTAGAGAGGAAACTCTATTTCTAGTTTAACGAGTAAAAGTCAGTAAATCAACCGTACATAGAGGCTGAATGGCATATGAGGACGGCCTGGCGGCAGAAGGGGATTGACATGCTTTTGGATTTAATGGGCCATTACCTTGTAACCATTGCCAATAAAGAACAAATTAGGCAAAAAAATCTACGACTTAATGCCATGAAAAGGCACATTTTATTCAAACGAATTGACGCCCCGTTGAAAAGTTGACAAGAGAGTTATATTGTTTGATGAACTTTATCAATTAAAGATAGAATTAGTTTGTGAACAAATGACAGCAATCGACGTTTACCGAAAGCTACTTTAGCTCATTGGAGTTGCCAATTAATAGATTCTCAAAATGTATAGATTGTTTTAATACAGATTTGTTGAAGAAATATCTCGGTTCAACAGTTTACGAGGTGTAGGTCATTCAAAGATTTGCATTGTTGCGTAGCAAATCCCACTCGAATTAACCCTGCTATTCTTGAACACTTGCAGGCATCTAACGAACGAAAAATGACGTTTTGCGATGAATGCCATTTCTTCGGCTGGGAGTCTAGTATTAATGTCATATGTGTAAGGTTTCCTGTTCTTAACAAAGGAGCCAGAAACAAAGGGACATGCTAAGTACAAGTTAGTAAAGTATTAAATATGTAGATGCGCTTGGTCAATCAGAGACACGTGTTTGTGAATCGCAGTCAGTTACAATGAATAACAACACAATGGTTTGATGAATCTTGCTTTATGTGAGAAAACCCTAGATTTCAGACAGATAACAAGAAATACTTTCCTTGTCGCTATTCACTGGCTTGTGGAGAGTGAAGTGGTATTTGAATCTGGCTGTCCTTTGAACTGTCCTTTGCTTGAAAAGCCATGCAAACAGTTCATTTACACAAAACAAATCCTAGTTAACTAACTTGAAATAACTGTCTAATGCAAGTTGCAAACAATGGCATCAGGAAAAGGCGTCCTGTCCCCAGATTACTACCCAAGAGATGATGGCGAACAAAAACAACTTCAACACAGACAGAGAACTCGAAAACCCTGGCAAATCCTGTGCGGTATTTGTGAAAAACTTGACTACATAACATGCTGTGGATTCGTGTTCTGTAAACGTTGTTTGATTCGATGTTTCCAGTTCCGTCAATCGGTGTTCACCAGAATGGCTTACATTGGTTTTCTATTGGGTGGTTGTCTAATATGTTGCCTAATGCTTTCTCCAAAGACAAGGGCGTTGTTGAGCGATAGATTTTGTCAAACTATAACATACTTTGTATGTGACACTGTGCGTGGTTATTCTGCTGCATACAGGGTGTTCTCATCTATCTCTATATTCTTCTTTCTATTGGCAATCATGACATTTGGCATATCGTCAAGTAATAACCATCGTGCTCGTATTCATAATCACTACTGGGGGGTCAAGATCTTGTTGCTTACGTTTTTCGTCTTTTCGTTTCTATTTGTACCACATTCCGAGTACAGCGGGGAAGTGTGGATGTTTTTTGGACTGAATGGGGGATTTGCGTTTATAATACTACAAAGCATTCTTCTGATGGATATTGTACATTCATGGAACACTAGTTGTGTGGAGAAATTAGAAAATTCTCAGCATGACCGTCGTGCCTTTCGTCTCTGGTACGCCATTCTCTGGGTGCCCACTATAACTTTGTACAGCGTCTCCATAATCTCTATAGGTCTATTTTACGCCCAATATGCGCAGAAAGGATGCTACAATAACATGTTTTTTATCAGTTTTAACATTTACCTGTGCCTTGCTGCGACCTATATATCTATTAACCCCTCCGTTCAAGAGAGGCGCCCGCGATCCGGTCTTCTCCAGGCATCAGTGGCTACCACTTACAATACTTTTATCACGTGGTTAGCGCTGTCCAATGCCCCGGATGAAGAATGTAACCCATCACGTGCTTATCTATTTCCCGGAAGTACGTTACATAACGTGCAAATGTTGCTGGCGCTGGGTCTGATGTTCTTCTTGTTAATTTGTACCAGTCTTAGAGAGGTTTCCTCCCCTCAATATGGAAAAATCAAACTTTTTTCCTCGCGACATTTAGGGACAGCAAGCAATAAAAATATCGAGATAGACCCCATGGCCGACAATCCAGACCTGCAGAACGACAAACCAAAGACAATTGTAAAAGATAATGAAGACGATGGGGTTGAGTACAGTTACTCTTTCTTTCATGCCATGCTTTGCTTGGGATCCCTGTTTGCTATGATGACCATAACAAACTGGTACCGACCAGAAGAAGAAGAGAACCTTACAGTCAAGCTTATATCTAGTTGGGGCTCTGTATGGATACGCATTTCTGCTGCTATTTTTAGTGTTTTTATCTATATATGGACATTGGTGGCACCTGTCATGTTTCCTAATTCTTACAAAGATCTAGTCTTCTTTCAATTTATGTTGATGGGCGATCACTAACTCGTAGGTGTAGAATAGAAGGAGGTATTTTATATCGCAGCGTAGGCCAGGCTATTTCTTTAATTTATATGAACATTGATTTTGTAATTATAGCGATATAGTGGATGCACCGTGAAACAAATATTACGACTATCTACCAAATGATGTTGGTAAGACAACAGAGCATCATTTMTCTTCAGTTTTGCACTGGTTTTGGTTCACGGATTAAGYGTGTTCACTCTAAAATATAGAAATGTTGATATATGTAAATCGTTAGTCTTCAGGTTACCTCTAACAACAAGTGTAGGTTACAGTCACTGTCTAAATCTTTGCTCGYAGTAATTACCACTTTAGAGGGTAATGTAGAAACGATTCTTCTGATTCTTAGCTACAGTTGTTAGAAATCCAATCCTTTTGTAATCATCATTTTTTATCTCAAAGGCTAAGGATACATTTAAAGGTAGTTTGTTTGTAAATTTTAGAAT